GCCATTTTGACAAACAAAATATGCATAATTTTGCAATACTGTGTGCAGAATTTTTATTCTTTTTGGTGCAGAGTTCCCCCCACGAGTAAAAAAGAGGTGTATATTTGAAAATGTAACAAGTGGTCAATGGGGGTTGACATCATGAGCCAATCGGAGGTGGGAGTCTAACTTGACAGTGAATAAGAGATAAGTAGAGTTGAGACAGGTTGTGGTAAGAGGGTATTTTCCTCCAGAGAAATAATTTGGAAGGAAATTATAAATAGAAGCACATTGTAACAAGATGGTATAATAACTTATGTCCCAGCACATGCACAGACCTCATTGTAGGACTGGTGTCTTTAAAAGTACTTACTGTTCATTATCACTGTTCATTATCACCATAATTTAAAAAAGTATAGAGAAAAATTCTGCATAAATCTATGCTAATTCTGCATACTTTGTAATACATTTACAAATAAAACTTGAAATAGAAATTAACTTTTTTAAAAATGTTGAAGATTTCAAAATAATTCCAATGCTTCAATAACACTATTATAGTTGCTAATCCAAAACAGAAAATAATATTTACAAGAAAAGCTTTGTTAAGGGGAATGAGCATCATAACACCTGGAATCTAGATGTCAGCCATGAACACCATTATATGATGTAGATAAGAATCTAGCAGACAAAATTATGTTTAATAAAATATAACAACTCTGTTGTACGGAGGTCTTTCAAAGGCTTCCACTGAGATCTGACCTCAATGAAATATCCTTTGCTTAAAAAAATGTGTGGAAAATTAAAACAAAATATATTTAGATAATTACGTTTTCCATTACGGTGGTTGTAGCTGTAACTGTACAAATTGATTTACTGCTAATTAATGGAATGGTGTGGTATGGTTTGCACCTTGTGCTGAAAATATACCCCTAAAGAACAATACTGCCATCACATATACTTCATGCAATCCCATTTTGCATATACCTCATTTCATCAAAAGGGCTTCTGATTGATATGTATAAAAGATGTTAAGGCTAAAAATATATTATCGATATGCCCCATATAGTCTAGATACAGAATTACAGATATTTCTAAATACGGAGTGTGTCACAATACTTAGGCGTGATGACATATGGTAAGGATGGAATTTTAGCTTGAACATAGATGTTATTGCTTTGTGAGTTTCAGGTAGGATGTTAACAGTAAACATTATTACATAATTATAGCATTGTTTTTGTTTTATGGAAATCATTGCATAATGAACAGAGGCTACTTGGAGATTATTCTGTGGTTGAAGCACTCAAAGGAAAGAACACTGTCCCAAAAGAGACAGAGGATAGATCAGAAACTGAAAAAGGAAACAAAATAGGTACAGATAAAGAATTTAGAAAATAGGAATTCTCCCCTCTGTCATGAAAAAGAGAACATAAATTAATTCAAATATTTATTTTGGTCCAGCTATATAGAAATCAGAGTTCAGGACCTGAACTTCCTGGCTAAACATGGATTATGAACACTGCAGAAACAGTGTTCTTCCTCAGCTCCTGGAGGACAGTATCTTGCATCACTCCTGGGAGATTTGCTCTGGCTGACACAGAGCTGAATTAATAGGCTGTATTTAGCCCTCTTAAGGTCCCACCCTGCAAACATGCATGTGAGTAACTTCAGTTGGACTACCTGCATGTGTAAAGGTACTCATGTGTTTAAGTGTTTACAATATTGGTGCAACATCAGGCCCAGGGCACATGATGCCAGGCAAAAGGAGAAAATGGGAAGAACTCTACCACACCTCCCTTTCCCCAAGTCTGTTATCAGATGAACATATGCCTTATTTTTATTTCTTTTAGAATTTGATTGAAAAAATTATAGACCACTGTAAACATTCTGGAAGTCCTTGAGTCTGTTTCTGCAAATGATTGAATCAATAACCAAAGTCTCAACCATGCAGTATATATCACTGTGTTTTTAATATTTGACAGGTTTAAGTCCATCTAATGCTATATAGTAATTTCCACCACATGTAAGAAGGCAGTGGCAATTCATTGTACAGGTTAACGTTTTTCTTATTTCACTGAAATCATAGAGAAGGCTGAGCAAAGGAGACTGAGGGAGCAAGCAATATCACACCTGTATCTCTCAGCCTAGTTCAGTCTTGAGGTTTTTTTGCATCTAAAAACTGCTTGTGCAGCTTTGCTCAATTAGTAACTTTAACAGAATTTCTAAAGTTTTAACAGATTTGCATTTGGTAGGGACATGTATTATTCTATTGTTATGTGGATCACTGACCCATGAGATTTTGATGTTCGTGAGTTTCTAGTCACATTTCCAAAACATGCAGGTTTGTGACTTAGTATGTGATCTCTATGAGCTGGAAAGACTCAAAGCATATGGCAGATCAGATGTTAGGCTTGGGGGAAATCAAAAATTAAACTGTCTCGGAGCTGTTGAGAGACTGCTTTGCTATATATTTTATGTGATTTGTATGTGTGTGTGTTGGGGGAGATGCCACCTAGGGAAGGGAATCTAAAAAAAAAAAGCTTTAAAAATGTGCTGTTTGTATTGTTGCTTTAAACTTTAAAGTCTGGTCAGCTAAAAGCAGATGTTGCAAACTAAGATGGAAACTTGCCTGAGGCCAGAAGAATTGGAGAAGGCGCTTTCTAATAGTAAAAAGGAAAAATGCTTTCTGGAATCAAAATGCATTATATACATAAAATGGACACTCTTGAACTTTTTTCCTCTTTATATTTAGACAGATTAGTGCACAATGGTTATAGTTTCCTAATTTGATTTCAGGCAAATGATTCACTATAAATTGTGACTGGATTGTAAGAAGTTTACCATGAAATCTTTTATTTTATTCTGCACTGGCAAGGAAGGATTACAACTATCATACTGGAATCGGAAATATGACTGAGCTTACACCTTACCTCTGGCTGCCTGCCCAGTACATAGATGGAGGTGGACTAGAGACTGTGAATACATGGTGTGGGTTTTGGCATAATTTCACATAACATACTTTTGATGCTCTGAGTCTGTTCAGGACAGAAATTTCTGTGATGGTGATAACTGAGAAACATATACACATAAGTGGAAGAGTGAGTATAACCTTTACTGTATGTTTTTATAATGACCTAATCCTGTACAGTATCTGAGGATATACTTAAATTATATAAACACAATTTTAAGTCTTTGAAATAGAAAGTAAAACATTAAAGAATATTTTCAAGAAAGGGGAATTAAAAAGTTGGTTTATATATATAAAAAAAGCAATTATGGAAAAATCATAAATCAGTATTTGATAAAATCATCTTTTTCATCTATTTATGAGAAAACATATTTACAGTAGTTCCCTCTATATTATTTCTTGGATGTCATAAAGCTTTGAACCAGTTTAAAATTTAGTCTGCCTGAGACAGTATAGCAATTAATTAATTTTAAGTTTAGTATTTCAAAAGCGAGGCTTTAATGGTGAGACAACAACTGCAATGTACAGTGTTTTTATGGAAACCCGCCCAACTTTTGCAATTCAAAATATGTTACCTGATATCACTTCAATTTTAATAAAAGATTCAGAGGTTGATTTTCTGTTCAAGCTTAGCAGCAGCAATAAATAAATCAATCCATTCCAGAATTAAATGAAAATGTTGCAGATCTTTGCACACATCTCCCAGAGATATCCTACAGATCAACCTAATTAATCTAATCCAGGGGTTCTCAAACTGCATTGCACTGCAACCCTCTTCTGACAACAAAAATTACTTCACGACCCCAGGAGGGGGGACGGAAGCCGGAGCACGCCCGAGACCCACTGTCTCTGGTGGAGGGGCCAAAGCCCAAGCCTCACCGCTCTGGGCAAGGGGAGCCAAAGCTGAAGCTCAAGGGCTTCAGCCCCATGCAGTGGGCTTGCAACTTGAGCCCTGCTGCACAGGGCTGAAGCCTTCGGGGTTTGGCTGCGGCCCTGGGCAGTGAGGCTCAGGCTTCAGCAAGTCTAAGCCAGCCCTGGCGACCCCATTCCAAGGGGGTTGTGACCCATTTTGAGGTCCTAACCCACAGTTTGAAAACCGCTGATTATCAGTCTTTTTCTAGTGCAGCTATTACTGTAGTGTCTAGGAATTCTTTTGCTAATGCAAACATTCAGTATGAAAATTGCTGGGCTAAATTCTGCTTTCATAAAAAGGGCTTGTCTACAAATGGAGTTATTCAAGAATAAGCTGTTTCTGAATAACTCCCTGTGTAGAAAATCCCTAAATCTACTGACACCAATGGAGTTACTCCAAATTCACAGATGTGTAACATTAAGCAGAATTTGGTCCTTGCTTTGCTTCTCCCTCTTATTTCAGTTAGCAAAATTTGTGTCTGTATATTTCTGTTTTTTCTCTTCAGTGACATACTTCTGGGTAATTTCTCAGGCATTGAACTTGTGTGAAGGATTTGCAAAGAGTTTTTTTTTTGTTTTTTTTTTACATTTTGCCCTTAAGATGTTCTGATTGATGGCCATTCTGATTTCTGGTAGAAAGGGATGCAATAACTGAAGACCTGTTGAGACAGCTTTGCCACCTGGGCCATGAGAGCTTTGCCACGAGCTCCATCAGATGAACTCCTCTAACATACAAAGGTATAAAAAAAGCCCCCTCGACTCCATATCTGCTGATGCTCTAGATGCCCCTGAAACCCATACAAGTTCTGCAGTTCCCAAGCCTGCCAATCTATTTATCCTCAACGTCAGAAAGGAGGAAACAACAAGCCACCATTTATCTCTGCCCCCTTCATGAAGTGGGTCATCAGAGAAGGAAACGACTCCAGGCATCTGCCCCTTCCAGCAGAAGGAAAAGACAGGATGCAACTGATGCCTAAATCTCCTCTGGCGGCATGGGGCCCATTTCTGGGAGGATCTTCACATCCCATGCAAGTTCTGCAACTTCCACCCTACACCTCTATCTGCCTGACAGAGAGAAACAAGTTCCCTCTGCAGACCCAGCAGTACCAGAGGCGGGTGGAGGAAGCAACTCACCACCAGAGACGCCATGCCCACCCTCCCTGCTGGCAGGAGCAGAGGGAAAGAAGACCCAGCCCTCCATTCTTCTGGGGGGTGCCACAATTGTAGGGGCCTCCTCCTAATCACCCCCTTCTCCCTCTCGAAAGCGAGTGATTTTAAAGGTGGCACAAGGCGTGATCTGCTGAGGGGAAATTCAGGCACGAGCCAGAGCAGACCCGCCCCAGCGCAGCCAGAGCGCCCCACAGGGCAGGACCCGGGCGGCAGCGCTGAAGCTCTGAGGACGATAGAGTCCTGAAGGGGGCGAGCTCATCAATCGATCATTCGGTCAGCGTGGCTGGTTTGTGAGCCCGAGAGGGGAGTGCGATCGATTGATCAGCGCTCTCCGTGAGCCTTCTTCGGGGCGTTCGCGCGCTCTGCCCTTGCCCCAGTTGACGCCATTTTGTGCGGTGGCGGGAGAAGCGGCTGGACGAGGTATGATTTGCCTCCCCTCATGAATCGGGGAGTGGTCGGAGTGACGTCGCCAGAGTTCCGGAGGAGAGAGAGTCGAGGCTCCTTTCACACCTCAGAGCAGATTCATGCAAAGGCTCCTCACCACTGGGCTCTCCTGGGCCTCGTGGGGGTGGGGTGGCTGTGGCTGCGCCTGCTGCTATGGGGCCCGGCAGCTCTGTAGCCCAAGGACTCTGGTGACGTGACCGCTCCGTTAAAGCACCAGGGCCCCCAGCTCCTGCAGGCAGACGCGGCTCTTGCAGTCAGTGGCAGGCATCGCTTGTGCAGGGGGCAGTGGAGCCTTGCACCTGGTGTGTGAGGGTTGGCCGCCGGGGGAGGGGTGGAGTGGGTGCCTTTCTCCCCACGCCGCTTTGGAGGGTTTACACCAGTGGTTCTCAAACCTTTGTACTGGTGACGAGGGTTGCCAATTTTCTACTCTCACAAATCCGAACACCCTTGCCCCAACCCAGACTCCACATTTTTCTGGGGTCCTGCCCCCGCCCAGCCCCATCTCCGAGGTCCCACCCCCCACTCACTCCATCCCCCTCTCCCTCTGTTGCTTGCTCTACCACCCCTCCCTCACTCGCTTATTTTCACCAGGATGGCTCAGGGTTGGGGTGTGGGAGGGAGTGAAGGCTCTGGAGTGGGGCCAGAAATGAGGAGTTCATGGTGCGGCAGGGGTTGGGGTGTTGCAGGGGCTGAGGGCTCTGGGCTGGAGCTTTGGGTTCTGGTGTGCAGAAATGAGGGTTCCGGGTGCAGGAGGGGGCTCTGGGCTGGGGCAGTGGGTTAGGGTGCAGGGGATTGAGGTCTCCAGGTGTGGGGCTTGGGATGAGGGATTTGGGGTGTAGGAGGGGGCTCCATGCTGGGGCTGAGAGGTTTGGAGGGTGGGAGGGGGATCAGGAGTAGGGCAGGGGGTTGGGGCATGGGAGGGGGTCGGGGCACAGGCTCTGGGCAGCGCTTATCTCAAGCAGCTCCCCGAAGCAGCAGCATGTCCCTCCTCCAGCTCCTATGTGGAAGCGCAGCCAGGCGGCTCTGCGCACTGCCCTGTCTGCAGGCATGGCCGCCAGCCAATGTGAGCTGCAGAGCCAGTGTTTGGGGTGGGGGCAGCGTGCGGAGCCCTCTGGCTGCCCCTTTGTGTAGGAACCAGAGGGGGGACATGCCACTGCTTCTGGGAGCCTGTCTTAGCCCAACTGCACCGCTGACTGGACTTTTTAACAGCCTGGTCAGCAGTGCTGACCGGAGCCGGAAGGGTCCCTTTTCGACAGGGTGTTCCGGTCGAAAACTGGACACCAGGCAACCCTACTGGTGACCCCTTTTACATAGCAAGCCTCTGAGTGCGACCCCCCGCCCTTATAAATTAAAAACACTTTTTTATGTATTTAAACCATTATAAATGCTGGATTCAAAGCGGGGTTTGTGGTGGAGGCTGATACCTCGTGACCCCCATGTAATAATCTTGCGACCCCAACCCGCAGTTTGAGAACCCCTGGTTTACACATCACGCTGTACCGTGCTCAGAGGAAGCCATGTTGGAGATGGCTGCTCTGATGCCCCTGTTAGCTCAAAAATAGTGAGAGGAGATGGGTGCTAAGCTGTGCCATGCTGCACCATGGGCAGAGCGAAAATGAGTGCCTGGTCTTGCCCTTACAGAGCTAGGAGGGCAAAGGGAATGATTACTCCTAAATCCCTGTCTTTGCTGATTAGGGAAATTTTGCACCTCAGACAAATTGGGGCTAAGCCATGTTCCTGGAGAGGCACTAGGGAGTTTCCTTGACCGTCATAGACTAAGCCTAACTGAAAAACATGCGTGTGTGTTTAAAAAAGAAAAGAGGAAAGCTTACAGCAATTCATAGTTTAATGTTTTTTAAAAGTTTTGGTGATGTGTATTAGCAGAAAGAAACAGTTCTGAAAACAAGTGACAACGCTGATAAGATACGTTAGGTAATATCTTTTGTTGGACCAATTTCTGTTGGTGAGAGAGACAAGCTTTTGAACTACACAGCAGGCTTCAGGTCTGGGAGTCCGCTGAAGATACATTAACATTATTTTCTGAAATAGAACATTTTAAAACATTTGAGAGAACTTTTTAGTGTATCTAAAGGTCTTTGCAGGATATTTACAGTTGAATTGTAAGCTTACCAGAAGCATACATCTTAAATGTAAACCTGAATCCATATGTGTAGCTGAATCTGACTTGAAAAATCAAATTGTAAAACAGCCCTAAAACATGAACATATTTATGTACTGTTTTGATCTCCAGTTCTGCAAACACTAATGGTTTATTTTACTACCATGAGTCTGAATCCTTTCGAAGCATCATATGTTACTTAGGGTACAAAAAGGCTTTACCATCTGTCCTGGGTTGGTCTTTGGATGTTTGGTATGTTGTTAAGTCCCATAATTTTCCCCTCTCGGAGTAGTGTTTGACAGAGGGATTCTTTTGGCTGGCCCCTTTTTTGTGTTCCTTCAGCTGCCCAAAGGCACACCTGACACATTAGACACTCCGGTGTCGTTCTTAACCTAAGTCCCAAATATTTCAGTGGGCCTCCTCACAGTAGTTAAGTTAACCCAGTGGTTCCCAAACTTTAACAGCCCGCGAACCCCTTTCTCTAAATCGTGAAATCTTGTGAACCCCCTTCTAAAAATGAATATTTCCAGGGTTTTAAATTTAAATTTCCTCAGTGTGATGGATGCGCTTGCTTTGCTCTGCATAGCTCTTTGAAGTCCGGAACCTTTGGAGAAAGATAAAGTCTCAGGTCTGGTTCGGCATCAAGTCTGTTTCTGTATTTCGTTTTCAGATGTGCATACGAGGAAAACGCTTTCTCGCATAAGTATGTTGTTGAAAATGGTAACAAAACTGCAGCAGCTTTTTCTGCCAGAAGGGGGTACTTGTTTCTTAAAATCAGCCAAAAGTTGATCAATGACAGATTTCTGAAACTCCTTCTCAGTTCGTAATCACAGGAGATCTCAATCAATTTATCTTTTTCCTCAGTGTTCAATATCTGTGTTGAGAAAGTGGTATCATCAAAAGGGTTGCAAATCCAGTCATTATCGCCTGATATAGCTGGAAAGTAATCCCTGAATGTTGTGCAAAGTCCTTTTAGGTGTGCAGTTATATTGGTTTTAGTGCACTGATCCAACTGAAGTTTATGTTCTGCCAGGAAGTCATGAAGATTACTGAAACACTCAGTTTGATTGTTTTCCAAACAACTTTCACAGAACTGCAATTCTTTATCATGGATTTAACTCGGTCTTGCACATTGAAAACTGTTATATTGAGACCATGAAGAAATAAATTTAGGTCCTTAATTCTTGAGAAAATATCTGCTAAATAAGCTAGGCTCCGGAGCCAGACATTATTTTCCATACAGCTGGCAAGGTGGAAAGGGTGGCTGTTGAAAAAAACTAGGATTTCCATTCTAAGCTCAAACAAGCGCACCAGGATTTTGCCCCGTGAGAGCCATCTAACTTCAGTATGGGTCAACAGACAATCGTGTATACTACCCATTTCTTCACAAAGTACGTGAAATATTCTGGAATTTGTTGGCCATGATTTTATGAAATTCACCATTTTCACTGCATTGTCCAGCACTTCCTTCAGTCCCTCAGGCATGTGTTTTGTTGCGAGGGCTTGTCTATGGATGCGGCAATGAGTCCAAGAGACTTTTGATGCAACCTTTTTTGTTCGAGCTACAAATCCAGTATACTTCCCCGTCATTGATGTGGCCCCATCAGTGCAAATGCCTAGGCAACGAGACCAATCTATTTCCTTTTCTTGAAAATATGCATTAGTTAGATTGAAGATATCTTCTCCAGTTGTACGTTCTTCCAGTGGTCGGCAAAACAACAAGTCTTCTTCAACCAGACCTTCATTCACATAACGTACAAACAGTAGCAAAATAGCTAGATTAGCTACATCAGTTGATTCATCCAACTGTATAGCATAATATGGACTATTTTTCACTCTCTGTACAATTGTGGTCTCTATGTTATTTGATATGTCATTAATTCTTCGTGACAACATATTATTGGACAAAGGTACCATGTCAATCCTTTTTGCAGCCTTTTCTCCGAGCATGCAATGAACTACGGCTTTTATACATGGACCAATCAAGCTCTCTGCTATGGTATGGGCTTCTGATGCTTTTGCTACTCGGTAGCTCACGTGGTTTGATGCTTCAAGTGCATTTTCATTATCAGTACTTGCTTTGGATATAAAACTGGTAATGTAACTTTTCCTCTCAGCTAATTTTTGCTTGAAAAAATCAACAGGCTTGTCGAGTTGTGCAGGATGCCTAGTTTCTAAATGGCGCTGAAGTAGAGAAGGTTTGAGGCTGCTGTTTGATAGAACATCACCACAAATCACACACAGTGGTTTTGGACATTCTTGATCACCAATGAATGTAAAGCCATATTTTATATAATCATCATCATATTTTCTTTTCTTTGTAAGTGACTTTCCAGGACCAATCATGATCATTAGACGTAGATTTTCCACAGTGTGGACTTGAGGAAACGCTAGCTGATTCTTGCGTCTTTACACTTTCCTTTTTCAGCCATTTATCCATTGAACTTGTGTACAAAAGTTCTAATAAAAACAACACAGAGAGACTGCTAACAACCAACAAACTAGAAAATGAGAAGATTCACTCAAGTCTCACTGAAGCAAAACAGCACTCCAGACAGAATGACAATTACAGAGGCACCTTAACACTGCTACAATGGCTACAACGTGCTTCTGGCTGGTTTGGCTCCCAAACAGCTTTTCTTCCGCCACGAGGTTTCTCCCTAGGAGGGTGTCCTGCGAGGGACAAATTAGCTTGGACCACCCCCCACATACAGCATTGCTCCTGCTAACTCTGCCCTCCATGCCAACTTCCCCTGTCTGACAAAGACAGGAGTCCGAGCTGCCACCTGCAGGTCTGGGGGTCTCAACTGACACCCTGCCCACCACAGGGCTCAGGCTACTGGCCCCGCGCCAGGGCCTGGGCTGCTGGATCCACACTCCCTGGGGCTCCTGCTGCTGGACCCCATTGACCGCCCCGGTCAACTGAGCTCCACTGAGCTTCTGCTGCAGGTCCCGCTGACCGCTGGGGCTCAGGCTGCTGGCCCCAACTGCCCGGCCCTGCTCTCCCTGAGGCTTGGGGCTGCCAGCCCTGCTGGAGCGCTGGGGCTCAGAGCTGCTGGCTCCCCTGCTGATGGGGGGCAGGGCTCGGGCTGCTGGCCCCAACTGCCCGGCCCTGCTCTCTCTCGGGCTCGGGGCTGCCAGCCCTGCCGGAGCGCTGGGGCTCGGGGCTGCCGGCTCCCCCGCTGATGGGGGCAGGGCTTGGGCTGCCATCCCCAACTGCCCGGCCCCGCTTTCCCTGGGGCTCAAGGCTGCCAGCCCTGCCGGAGTGCTGGGGCTCGGGGCTGCCGGCTCCCCTGCTGATGGGGGCCAGGGCTTGGGCTGCCGGCCCCAACTGTCCGGCCCCGCTTTCTCTGGGGCTCAGGGCTGCCAGCCCCGCCGGAGTGCTGGGGCTCAGGCTGCCGGCTCCCCCGCTGACGGGGGCAGGGCTTGGGCTGCCGGCCCCAACTGACGGCCCTGCTCTTCCTGGGGCTCTGGTTGTCTGCCCTGCAACCAGGTCCCACCTGCTGCCTCCAATGCTGGGGTCCTCTGGCCGCTATTAATGAATTTTTTCTTGCGAACCCCCTGTAACATTCTGCAAACCCCCAGGGGTTCGTGAACCCCAGTTTGGGAACCACTGAGTTAAACTATCAAAACAGGGTAAAATCCTGGGTCTGGGATTCTGACCAGGGAAAGCACTTGTGGATATAAAACTTTATTGTTTTAGTAACAGAACTTAAGTTTTGTGTCTAAGCTAATTGACATCCTTCGAAGTACATATCAAGTTTGGGTCTAGTAAATTCTTCTAAATTTAGATTTATTATAATATAGGGAGTCTTAAACTGGGCAAAGAACTGAAGGAAAAACATTCTTATTTAGTATTTAAAGTTTTAAACTAGTATATAGTTAGATAACATACAGTTCATCCTATAAACCTGATCCTGCAGGCAAAACCTGTTAAGGACCTGGGGATTGGGCCCACAGTCCAATTTGCAACTAAGTAATATGGGCCTATGTAGAAAGATTTCTGACCTGCTTGTAAATTAAAATAATTACATTCTTTAAATAACTGTGAGTAGTCTATTTGGGTTTTTTTGGAGGTGGCAGAATCCGGTCCAACAAAAGGAGAGGGCCCTTTGTAGTCAGAATAAAAGAAAGTATTGCAAGAAAAAATATAAAATAAAACTATAATCCATTGAATATATATTAAAATTATTTTCTGAAATAAAACATTTTAACGCAAACTTTCCCCTTATCAGCGTCATCTTTTCTTTTTTTCAAAGGTGGTATTGTGGTTATGTAAAAAGTGTTTAAAGTTCTACCTGTACATCATTTTTCTATTTCATTGGAAAAGATGAGCTAAGAACAGTTGTTTTAGAAAATCAAATGTTTAAGTCTGTAATAAACTACAATGGGTATCTGGTGAAAATTCAGTTTATATTTATCACTAGATACAAAGGCAGATTTAGGCCTTGATCCTGCAAACATTTAGTATATGCTTAACTTTAAGAACATGCATGAGTGTTTAGAGGAGCTATGAGTGCACATAGCTTTACTGATAATAATCTTGAAATTTTGTCAAGAAATTGGTTGTTTTCTGGTTGTTACAAAAGAACCTATTTTTTGAAGCAAGGATAATAACCTAGAGGTGCAAAAAAGAAAAAAAGTGTGTGTTCATCTATATATATACGCACACATTTTATTTGGTTAGAAAGCTTTCTTTTTTCTTTGCATGTGTATATATACAACACAATCTTGTACTGTGTTTTACAGTGTAATGAGAATTCATGTCTGATCTTGAGCAATGCTGAAACCTACAGCAACTGTCTTTTCATTGGATAATTTATTTTTTGAAAGACCAGATGCAAATCAAAAGTAAGTTTGTTGAATGATGTACTTTACTGGTTCTCAACCTTTTCAATATCTTGACCTCATGTTGCAACAGAAAAAAGTTTTGGGATTTCCCCTTCCCCTCTAGCTGTAAATAAGAAAAAAAGAGCGAGAGAGAGAGAAGGTGTGACACTAATGAGGGTTGTTAGTCCCAAACTGGGAACACATAATATTCTGTAATATTGGTTAAAGTACACTGAACAATGTTACTTTGTGCTTGTGTTTATACTGTATTCAGTATGTACTTCTAAGACATGGACTAACAGACGTTTTATGTTTTAAATTTACTATGACTTCTTTAAAAATGATTATTTATAGGGGAAGGAACAATCAATATGGTACTTATAATTAATAACATTAATGTATATTGGTGGGAAATGGTTAAGGAATACTTCTATCTCATGTACCTGTGTTACAAGCAGATATTTAGAACATGAAGAACCAAAAAATTGGTATCTTGCACCTGCTCCATCTGTTACTGGAATTCCAGCCACTCAGGAGTTACAGAAGGAATTGGAAAAAAGTAACTGTCTAGGTAAAATGTTTAACATTCATTTTTAATATGAAATACACTGGTGCTCATGTGAAGTATTATAGACATGTAATTTAGAAAAATAATAGCTCGGATTCTGGGGGATGTGTGCTCTTTGTGTTGTTCTGGTGGTGCAAAGGGAGTGAAAACCAGGCATGTCCTCTCTGCTGGGAATTCAGAGGGTTTACTTTAGGGGTTTCATGGTGGTCATGCGCAGGAGCTGGTGTAGAGGTGCGGAAAGTGGTGTTTTGGATGAGAGCAGGGCATGACCAGACTCCATTTACTTTGGATTGTGGAAAGGTGCCATGGAAAGGCGCTGTAAGAGAATGATGGCCCACACATCAGCCCAGTGTTCAAGAAATGCAAAGGTGATGTGGTATAAAGCCACCTGTGCCCTTCCACTCACTATGGACCCCCTTCCCAACTGCCCCACTAAGGAGGCACAGCTTAGAATTTTACCTAAAGATTTACAATGAGTAATTATTTTGAATGATGTCAAGTATCGGGGGTAGACGTATTAGTCTGTATCCACAAAAACAACAAGGAATCCGGTGGCACCTTAAAGACTAGGAGCATGGTTATACTTGTAGATGTAGAGTGCTATGAGTTAAACCAGCCTTCGTAGAGCGCAGTAGGGAAAGCGCTGCAGTCTGTCCACACTGACAGCTTCAAGCGCACTGGCGTGGCCACATTTGAGGCACTTGCAGCGGCACTGGGAGCAGTGCATTATGGGCAGCTATCCCAGCATGCAAGTGACTGCAACGTGCTTTTCAAATGAAGGGGTGGGGTGGAGCGTGTTGTGTGTATGTGGGGGGTGAGAGAGTGGGTTTTTGGGGGGCTGAGAGCATGTCAGCATGCTGTCTTGTAAGTTCAGACAGCAGCAGACTCTCCCCCCACCCATCCCCCACCTCTCTCTCTCTCACTCACAACATTCCACGCTAATGGTTGCTTTGTCTCGGGGCAGATAAGCAGCCGGCTGTCAGAAACGGAGCTTTCAAAGGGCATATCCGCATTCCTGCTGCGATTCAAAACAAAGACAAGAGTGGCCACTTGACTTAAGGGGATTATGGGATGTTGCCGGAGGCCGATCAGAGCGCAGTAATGCAACACCCTGTTCACACTGGTGCTGCGGCGCTCCAGCGGGGGCACAGCAAACATTGTTCCACTCGCCGAGGTGGAGTACCAGCAGCGCTGCAGCCGCGGAGTCCGAGCGCTCTACGTGCCTTGCCAGTGTGTTTGGGTAGTGAGCTAGTGCACCCGGGACTCCTTTATTGCGCTGTAACTCGCAAGTGTAGCCAAGCCCTGACAGATTTATTTGGGCATAAGCTTTCGTGGGTAAAAAATTGTGAACCTATCCTGGAAAATGATCCCTCACTCTCATAGACCTTGGGAAGCAGGCCAGTCCTCGCTTACAGACAGCCCCCCAACCTGAAACAAATACTCACCAGCAACTACACACCACACCACAGAAACACTAACCCAAGAACCAATCCCTGTAACAAACCTCGTTGCCTACTCTGTCCCCATATCTAGTCTAGCGACATCATCAGAGGACCCAACCACATCAGCCACACCATCAGCGACTCATTCACCTGCACATCTACTAACGTGATATATGCCAGCAATGCCCCTCTGCCATGTACATTGGCCAAACCTGACAGTCTCTACGTAAAAGAATAAATGGACACAAATCAGACATCAGGAATAGTAACATACAAAAGCCAATAGGAGAACACTTCAATCTTCCTGGACATTCTATTTCAGATTTAAAAGTAGCGATAGTTGAACAAAAAAACTTCAGAAACAGACTTCAAAGAGAAACTGCAGAACTAAAATTCATTTGCAAATTTAACACCATTAATTTGGGCTTGAATAGGGACTGGGAGTGGCTGGCTCACTACAGAAGCAGCTTTTCCTCTCCTGGAGTTGACACCTCAACTACATCCACCCTGATAGTATTGGCCCTGTTAACACTGGTTCTCCACTTGTGAGGTAACTCCCTTCTCCTTATGTGTCAGTATAATAATTCCGTCATCTGTAATTCTCACTCCATGCATCTGAAGAAGTGGGATTTTTACCCACAAAAGCTTATGCCCAAATAAATCTGTTAGTCTTTAAGGTCCTTGTTATTTTGAATGAGTGTTCAGGGTCTCCACCAGGAGAAAATTTTCTCCTGGGATTCTGGTGCTATACTATCACAAAATAAACTTGTGCAACTCTCAGCTGCTGTGACATAGGTTTTTGTTTTGTTTTTGTTTTTTGAATTGTGGCGTTAAGACCCGTTTCTTCATATGCTTCTGTACATAAGTAATTCTATTAAACTCAGTGGCACTACTCATTGAATAAAGTTAAGTACATTTTCAAATGTTTGTGTTTAACAAGCTTAACTGGCCATTGTATTTTTCACTTACAAACATATGGCATTGAAATTAATATAGGATGGCGACAATACAGTAACTCCTCACTTAACGTTGTAGTTATGTTCCTGAAAAATGCAACTTTAAGTGAAACGATGTTAAATGAATCCAATTTTCCCATAAGATTTAATGTAAATACGGGGGGTTAGGTTCCAAGGAAATGTTTGGGGGGCAGACAAAAGGCATTATATACTGTACTGTACTGTGATGGGGAGGTGCCCCTGGCTTACCCCTGGTGCTGGGGGTGCAGGGTATGGGAGGGAGTTAGGGTGTGGGAGGGCGCTCAGGGTGAGTGTGCGGGAAGAGGCTCAGGGCTGGGGCAGTCAGAAGGTGCAGAGCATTTACCTGGGGCAGCTCCTGTTTGGTGCAGGGGGCTCTGTGGCTCTGTGCAGCGTGGCACTGCCCCATGGCTGCGATTCTGGGAGCTGCGATTCTGGGAGCCGCGATCCTGGGAGCTGCCCCCCCTTCCCCCCTGTCCCGTCCCCCCCCCCAGCCAGCGGCCGGAGAGAAGCTGAGCTTTCCCCTTCAAAGCACCGCTTCTCTCCGGCCGGCTTTGAAGGGGAAAGTGCTGCTTCTTTCTGGCTGCGCGGCTGCCCCTGCTCCTCCTGAGTCCTCAGGCCCGTGCTTGCAGGGCCGCATTCTGAAAGGGGCTTTAGGGCTGCAGGCCAGGGCCCCGGGGCCCCCTTAGCCTAGGGCCCTGCAGCCCCTAAAGACCCTGCGTTCCGGGTGGCCCTGCCTGCCGGGCGGGGGGGGGGAGCTTCCTCGCTCCCTCCCTCCCAGAAAGTCCTAAGTGTTGCTAAACAGCTGTTTGGTGGTGGGGGAACCGCTGGGAGGGAGGAAGGGCGTGGGAGGAGGCGGAAAAGAGGAACTTGTGCAATGCTCCCTTATAAAGTCAGCCAAATGACATAAGGGAGCTTTGCACAACTTTAAATCAGTATGTTCCCTAATGGAGCAGCAACGTAACTTTGAAACAACATTAAGCGGGAGGATGTTAAGTGAGGAGTTACTGTACTGGGCCAAATTCTGCAGTTCTCACTCATTAATTATACATATACCCCAAACTCTCAGTGACTTCATTGGGAACTTTTAGTGTGCAAGGAATGCAAGACAGGGTCCATATTCTTTAAACTTACTAACAATTTAAGGATTACTCCAGTGTACCAAAACTCTTAGTTTACTTCTGGCTGTTATGCAAGCATTGGAATAGAAGAAACAACCAACAAAGAAGTCCTTTAAAAGCAATACTGGCAAAGATCATAGGCTGAATTGGCCCCTGTGCAGGAAAAACCCATTTGGGGGATATGAAAATCCACAAGATCCCAATCCTGGCGTTTCCTCCAAATTGTTTTGCAAGAGGGAACGAGTTGACAGAAGTGGATCTGTACTTCTGAATCATTGGGGTGATCAGAATCTGTACATACTTGGGATATCTAGTAAAAGCCAAGGCTGTCTGTGTAGAAGCCCTGTGCATTCACACTTGTTCCCACCTGTGACTCAAACCAATCATATTACTAAATTACAGTTTGCATATCTCCTGCAGTAGCCTGGCATCTTTCATATGTGTGTTCAGTTTTTTGCAGTGAGAAGGTAATGTCTGATTCCTCTAGATCTGGAAGATTCTTATGTATTGGCTTGAAAGGTTTTTGTGACCAGGAGAAATCTGTCTTCCACCCACCATGTAGTTTTGAGTTTTCTACTCCATTTTGTTCCCCTCTGTTTTATGTAGCAGAGCGTAGCAAGTAGCCCAATTTTTGTAAGTTTTTGATTGACAGCATGATGATGAGATACATCTCATTGAAAGACAGTATATATAATAGAGTACTTAAAAGAAAATAGCACTGTCCATACAGACAATATATGTGAAGTTGATCCTATTTTATGCAGAGATTTAATGCACTGACTGAATATTATATAGGGAATAATGTGTTGGCTTTTATAGATGAGACAGAGAGGCAGAAGTTTGTACCACATTTTAAGAGGGCTGTTGAAGAACCAAATGGTAAGTCATCAGTATCTGTCCATTTTGACATGACCTCTAACAAGCAAGAAATACTTAGGTTAAGTTTAGGAGAGGGAGATACGTCATTTGCAACATGAAAGTCTGGAAGTGGTTTTCTCTTTTCCCTATTCTGACCACAATAAAGATAAAAAATGAAATCAGGGCTTGTCAACAACCTGGTAGAAATATTTCAGAAAATAAAATATTAATTAACTTTCAAGAAGATGGTGATGATGAAAGTACCAGCTCAACATTCAAAAAAAGGTATGTGTTTCTAGTCAATTATCATAATTCATCAACTATCAGAATCATATTATTATTTTAGATACATTTGTCAAAGACTGAGTTTTTGATCCTTGAAATGAAAGTACTTAATAGAGCTCCAGGCACTATCGCTATTATTCTTTTGCATGTAATTAAAAACAGATATTTCCTCCTGGCAATATTTTAGTACCTTAATTAAAATTGCCCTGAGCTCAACCCTTCTACAAGAAAGTTAAGCATGGAGTTGATTTTGTTGTTTTAAGGAAATTACTGACTAATACAAACATCCATAGATGAATGTAGCACTAACTTGTTTATTGCTGTATGAAATTGAAAACCAATTGGAAGACTAGAAAAACAGCCCTCCATGCAGCTTCATTGGTGCCTAAGAGGAGAGGTCATACATATAAACAATTCTTCTTTCATGTCCAGCTATTCCCAGTCCTGAGGTCTTTAAGTTTCACTCTTTCATCTGTGCAGTAAGTGGCAATCTAGCATTAGGATCCAGTATTTATTTTGCATGGCAGGATAGATGGGATTGGTAGCCTGTCCATTGTGATTGAGTTCTTAAAAATCTGTCTAGAAAAGAGGACTACTTTCTAGGTAGACAAATTTCAGTTGAATCAAGCAAACTTAGACATGCTCATGAGAAGAAAAGATTTTGTTTCCTAGTATTTGTATCTGTACAAACAAAACAATACATTGTATTATCAAAAAAGTATATTCAAAAATATTAGGAAAACTGTAATAAAATATATGAAATCTCCAACTGAGACTTTTGAAGCTTATTTAAAACAACTGATTATACATATGCAAATATAGTTTACAAAGACAGTTCCACTGTGATGAAGGAAGTTGACATTTATTGTAATACAATTAAAAAATATACAAAATGAAAAAAGAGTTATGGAAAAATAATCATAGTATGTAGATACCTCAATATTCAGATTTTAGTGTAAATGATGTTTTTTCCGTTTCTGAAGATGGAAAAGAAGTTAAAGTACAGTCATTTCCTGATGCTTCAAAGACTTTTGGCATGGAAGGTAATTATAATTATTCTTTGTAATATTTTGGAAAAAAATATTTACTACACTCTTGATGTGATATCTGTATTAATAATGTATATTCATGCTCTCAGATGAAGAGGAATTCAGGATATGTACAATAAATGTTAAAACATATTTGGGTAAGATGAAGTAATGAGCAGATGGTGAAGGTTAGGTGTAGACCACCAAATCAGGAAGAAGGGATTAACTAGATACTCCTAAACCACAAAAGACACAAGGGCTTATAATAATGAGGGACTCTTATTTGTACAGTGACAGTAGCATACTAGGTGCTTGACAGACAAATATATGAAGACAAGGGAGTGGGACTTTAAAAAGCTCCTTAGTGTAGTCCGTGAAACTTTCGCTCTTAAGTCACTTAAGCACTTTTGAAAATCACCTGATGTCTTTGTGTCCAAAGAGTTTGCAATCTAAAAGCCTGGTTCTTTGAGGAGGTAAATGCTTTCATCTTCCATTGAAATCAACAGGAATTAAATGGTTTCAGAGTAGCAGCCGTGTTAGTCTGTATCCGCAAAAAGAACAGGAGAACTTGTGGCACCTTAGAGACTAACACATTTATTTGAGCATAAGCTTTCGTGGGCTATAGCCCACATCTATGCATCTGAAGAAGTGGGCTGTAGCCCACGAAAGCTTATG